GCCAACCAAGTAGAGCTTGTGCCCAAGCACATGCAGCCCCAGCTACGAGTAGAATAGAACTACTCACTTGTCTTTTTACCAAGTAATAGACTACGGCTAACATTTCCTGGGAGCTCGCCGACTCCCCTCGCGTGTCTTTCTACTAGCAGACACTACAAAGAATTATTTAGCAGTAACCTGCTTCAAGACCATGGCGAATATGCGTTCAGGAACCCGAAGCGTTGACGTTGGAGTTGCTCGCCAGAGTGACCGATCGAATGCCCGACGCGAAGAGGTTGGACGTACTCGAACGAACCCGTCACCAAGTGACGCATCTCAATCCCATGCAAGTGCCTCAGGTGAGGTCCCCTCCTCGACCCCGTTGTTCACACCGCTCGTACCACCGAAGATCACCAGCACCTCGCACGCTGCATTGGTTCAGTGGCGAAAGGACCGCCGAAACTACGAGGAGACAGCTCGATCTCGTGCAAAAGATGGAGCGAACGACGTAATCGTCCCGGTGAAGGCGACGTTCGACCAGGGTTTACTTCGACTGTGGTGCCGATTGAGATGGCACATTTCGATGGATGAAGTCACCGATGGCCACATCATGGCGGAGGTCGACAAAATCTTCGCAAGTGTGAAGAATAACAATGTACCGGACATTGACTACGAAATGCGAAGTAAACTACACATGGACTTAAAAGAGACGGACGTCAGTGAGAGAGTAATTCGATACTTCAAGACTTGTCATGATATCATCGATGACAATGGCTGGCGTGTCTTTTTCGACGATAACACTGGAAAAAAGGAACTGTACCGCATCCTCGTCGTTTCATTAGAGCCACAGGCGCTCCGTGAAGATGTAGAGCGGAGCATCCGTTTTCAAGCTCGAAAGGCTAAAGAAGACGAAGTCGTCCTGCACGATTTGATTTTGGAGAAGGCTTTAGAGCACGAAAAGGTGTTCCAAAGGCACAGGCGTGAAAAGCGCGAACGTGGAGATGGCGACGGGAAGAACCAGCCGTCTTCGAGGCCGACTAAGTCGACCAAAAGAAACTCGTCTGGCAGTGGCCAACGCACGGTGAGTG